CCGCGCAGCGCAGTGCTCCCCCGACGATTGACAGGATCGGGTGGTGGGGTCCCACTCCGTCCCAGCCCCGCCTTGGGACATTGAGCGCGGTGAAAGAGCGCAAGCGCGCCCAGAAGTCCACTACTGCCCGAGCGCGGGCGTATTCCAGGGGGGTTGCTGCTGCTGCTGTTGTTGCTGCTGCTGCTGCTGCTGCTGCTGCTGTTGCTGCTGCTGTTGCCGTCCCCGGTCCCGCGCTGGGCCCCTGCGTTTGATCCTCGAGTACCGGCGCGTTCAGCGGCGGCCCCTCGCGCGGTCTCACTCCGTTGGCCAGGTGAAAGAAGTCCGTTATCCGCCGCTGTTGGGGCCCTTGCGCCTGGATCTGTTGCGCTTGCTCTGGCTGTTCTGTCGCGGGGTTAGCCGCCCTTTCCAGTCGCCTTCCGGCTGCTCGCAGGCAGCACCTGCCTACCTCCATAGCAGACAGGGCCGATGTATGTATGTATGTATGTATGTATGTATGTATGTATGTATGTATGTATGTATGTATGTATGTATGTATGTATGTATGTATATATGTATGTATGTATGTATGTATGTATGTATGTATGTATGTATGTATGTATGTATGTATGTATATGTGCGTAACCTTGTGAAATCCTTGATATGCTACAAAGTAAAATGTCTTCTGTGTTTGTCTTGGACTATTTTTGTTTTTGCTCGACCAGTCAACCAGCCTAGAGCCCCACAGCCGAGTGTAGCCTTAAGTTATGTAAACTGCAAGTGAGATACACACACCAGCAGCAGCAATAAGCAATAAATAAAGTGAAGGGCCTTTTCATCGCCTGGCAAGTTCCCCTCCTAGCAAGTCTATGGGTGTACATACATATACATATGGCACGCACCATTGCCCCCGGGAGATCCCGGGATCGAGACCTGTCAGGGTCGAAAATTCTTCCGATGGTGGAAGGTAAGGAGCCCCTAGTTGATAAAGTTGACTTGCGAGCTGACCAGGAATGGAGTTGAGCCGCCGTCGACCCGGCAGATTCCGTTGGATGCTGGTGGTGGGTGCGGAACCTGAGCGATCGATTGAGAAGTTGGCTAGGGTGACTAGATGAGGGTGCTCCGAAATACCGGGGAAGGCAGGGTTTCGCAGGGTAGCTGCCACGGGCGAAGATACACCCCCCTGTTTCACACATCATACATACATATTCCGCCATTTCTTTGTTTTCTATTGCATAATGATCGGTACAGCCTTTTTTCCCGGGCGGTGTGGTGTTTCTGGACATTTAAGTACGGTGCGCTGGCTCACGCCGTACAGCGTCGTCAATATTCGTACACTCTCAAGCTTGAGGTGTGGGTTGTGGGTATGGGTTGTGGGTATTATGGGTGCACGGTCGAACAGTGGTCTTCGGGTCGTTGTCAGTTGCATGTCAGTTGCATGTTAGTTGCATCGTAACTCGTCCTTAAGTGCCCCCCTCAGTTTTGCTTGCTGCCCGTCCTACGCGCGCCATGCTTCCTTTTGCTTGTTTCGCATTAAACCGCTCTCACACAACTTTTCGTGGAACAGCCTGAGTAATCCACGGAGGAGTAGGACCTACGGTACGGCATCATAAATACACACACCCGGGCGGCACACCCCACAGCAGCACTGGTGGTGAAAGCGGTGTTGCGGTCCCTCCCTAATGCCAACTTGTACAGCAACAGCATTCATACAACAATAGGCAGGCGGCTGGCAGAAGTTAAGGCCTTGCTTCTGCTCCCGTCGCGTCCCGGCGCGTCCGGGTTCAAATCCGCCTGCCGACCTCTCGGGGTGTTTGAGAGGTGATGAAATGGGAGGTGGCCCCCCATCTTGTGGATGGTGTAGGACGTGATAAAATCAACTCGCGAGCTGACCAGGAACTAAGTTGACGCGCCGTTGATCCGCTAGATTTGGTTGGATGCTGGTGGTGAGTTGCCAAACTCAAAGAGTACACTCTGAAGTCGGATGGGGTGAATGGCTTAGGGTGCCCCTCTAGCAGGGGAGAGCAGGGAATTGCCTCGGGAAGGAGGCCACTGGTGAAGCTTAACCACCCTGTAACAACATCAACAATCACGTGATACGACTGACTCATCTAACTGACAGTTATGCCTTAATCAACTAATGCAACAGTGTTTTTTTTTTCATTTCTGCCGGTTAATTTTCCAGTCCGAACGTAGGAATAGGTTTTTAGTCGCGGGAATAAAGGTATTCCGAATCTGTAAGGCGCTG